ACCTGATTAATCGCAAGCTAAGGTTGATTCTTGATGATTCTAGGTTTTGCTCCACTTTCTCTTCTTTTCTCTCCTCCTCTTTTCTTTCTCTTGATTTTCTTCCTAATATTTCTATCTTTCTCTTTTCTCTCATATACTCATATTCTATTTCTTTCCTCCCAAATTCTTTCCACACACTTATCAATTAATTCTCACAAAATATCCACTTAATATTATTACTAATGCCCTAAATACCCTCCAACCTATTTTTACCCGAAACTCTCAAAGTCGGCAAAAATAGCTCAATAAGTAAACATAACATATTATCACACAAATTTCACATAAATAACATAATCACTTCAATAAATCAAATAAGAACTCAATAAAAATGGGAATTCAGAATCGGGGCGTTACATCCTCCCGACACTACTTTCACCATCGTAATTTCCTTGATTTTTAAGTGCTTCACTTTGCGATCCTCTACTCTAAAGGGATATGCCTCAATGGTCAAGTTCTCTCTAACTTTCACATTGTCCACTTGAATCACATGAGACGGATCAAGAATATACTTTCTCAACTGTGACACATGAAAGACATCATGAAGATTTGAAAGAAATGGCGGCAAAATGACTATGTATTGTGAGTCAATTTCCCTTCTAGGAGTATGTTTTGATTAATGTCAAAACTAGGATACTTAATATTTGGGTACATTAGACGGTATCTTCTCAATCTAGGTGTGCATTTTCATGATTAGGAGTGCATAATCATCCTTATTTGTTTAAAATCATTTACCAAGTTAAAAACAATATTTTAGGTCAAAATGAGTTTTATGCATCAACTTATAGATACTACAGGTCAACTCATACTGAACAAATAATGTAGGAAATTATTTTTCATTTAGCATGCATCAGCTCATAAATGTTACAGGCTGGTGCATAATTTTTTTTTCATTCCGCATGCATCAACACATAGATGCAGTAGTGTTACTAGTGGCCATTATTTATGGATCAAGAAAGCAACTTAAATAAGAACCTTTTCTCAAAATCATATCAAACCATTTTCAAAAAGATAAAATAATTCTCGATTCAATGTCGAGGCCATTTTAACACCTTTGTAAGTCGATCACTTTTAGCATCGCCATCAACCTCACATAGCTTACTCTTGGGATTTCTAATGAATTTTGTCTTACACACACTCACATAGTTTACTCTTGGACTTTCTTACAATGAACACCTTTTATTTACATACACTTGTTTTTATGGAATTTTGATCTTGTGAGTAATAACTTTAGTTTGTATTTAAGTTCTTCCAAAATTCCATAACCTTAACCCAGCCCCAAGTAGGTCTTCCCCTCAATTCATCTCAAATCGCTTTCTAACCCGATCAAATTCAAATCATTTTCACAATTACTTAAACAAAAAGAATTGGTCTAGAGCCTTCTATTCCCTTCTCGAATGCTTGGATATGAGTAGCCTTACTCGGCCATTCAAGTGTTCGTCGTTCATCAAAACACTTAACATTATCAAACACCATTTCATTAAAGATGAAAAGGGGAGGTGGTCTGGAGCCTTCGATTCCTCTCCTCAATTGTTCGGGTACGAGTTTCCTTACTCGATTAGTCAAAAAATTGTCATATCTTAAAATACTCATAATATTATTCACCTTAAATCAAATCAAATTATCATCTCCTCGATAACTTAGATGAAAAAGAAAATGGTATGGAGCCTTCGATTCGTCTCCTCGATTATTTGGATACGAGTTGCGTTACTCGACCATCCGAACAATTATCATCCAACAAAACATCCAACACATCAAACCTATTTTTCCTCGCCATCTTGCGATCCTTCAAACCTTTTCAAAAATGAAAGACATTTTGTCTTAAGATAATGCAGAGAAATGCTTTATCCACATCTTTGAGTTGAGATAAGTGACGTTTTCCCGTGAATGTTGATTCGTAAATCCATTCAATGTGATGAAAACGCACGCTCCTCGCGTGTTTTGGGTAAAACAGTGTTTTCCGTCGATTAATACAAGATAGTTTTCGCTAAAATCGATCAACAAATAAATTTTATTTTATCCAGAACTACGTCTGCCTTGATTTCTCTTTTGGGATAAGTATGAGAAGGGATGAAAATCTCGTTAGGCCCCCTAGTAATAAAAACCTTTTTAGGTCCCTTTCTTTTTTTGCCCTTAGTAATAAAAATATTTTTAGGTCCCTTTCTTTTTTTTCCCCTAGTAATAAAAATATATTTAGGTCCTATTCTCTTTACTTCCCCTTTAATAAACTGAGAAATATAACTTTTAAGCAAACACTAACACGCATAATTAACCTAACGGTTCCTGTTGAGTACAACAGACGTGAGGGGTGATAATACTTTCCCCTTGCGTAACCGACTATCGAACCCTAATATTGGTTGCGATGCGATGACCATATCATTGTCTTTCTTTTTAACGGTTTTATTCGATATTTTTCTTTTCCCTCTATGGAAATAAATAAAGATCGGTGGCAAATCTGTTAAGTCCATCCCACGAGTGTGTGATTGTTCTTCACGAGATTGTGCATTCATTTTTCAAAGTACGACAAGTATTGCATTAGACAAAGAGTAACTAATAATAACAATAAAAATAAAAAAAAATAAAAAATAAAAATAAAAATAAAAATGAAAGGAAAATAAAAAGAAACAAAGAAAAATTAAACAAACTAAGAAATAGGAATAACTAAAATTTAAATCTAAATATAAAAATAATAAAAAGGAACAAACTTCACACAAGCGTTGCCTTGTCGAAATTATCAACAATTTTCAGTAACGACACCAAAAACTTGATGACTTTTCAGCAAGTGTACCGATAGTATCGAAATAATCAAGGTAAAGATCATATCCACATGAATTTATATCTAACAAAGTTACGATTGTGCAAATTTAAAATTAAAGATTGTGGGGTTTTCGCGTTTTAATGCAAAAGTATAAATTGTTCTGAAATTAATGCGAGAAAGCGATTTGCTTTTGTGTGAATCCCTTGTATATCTTTTATTGATGTTTAATGCATTATATGAATGGTAAAGTCTTTATATTTTCACGGCGTACTAACAAGACCTCTGTACCTAATCCTTTGGTGTACAACTCACTAACTTCTACTAGAGGTCTTCTACTCCTATTCAAACAACGTAAGTGAAGTGAGACGATGTTATAGTACGTTAATTCATATGCCATTACTAGAGGTCTCATATCCTTATTTAACTGGTTAAGTAGATTAATTATCCTATGTCAGGTTCATAGGCTTATGGTCAGTAATTCTTACTCGTCTAAAATCATACAATCAATGCGTCCATATATAATAAGCATTACAAATAAAAGTTGTTAAATAAAAATATAACTTCAATTATCCATATAACATTAAATTAAAACATATTATCCAATATGTTCAAAACAAGTTCATTAAACAAAACCTAATTTAGTGAAATTTAGCTACTCATGATAATACAATAAAATACTATGCAATAAGATGAAAATAACATGTGAAATCCTTGAAAAGTTTGACCTCAAATGACTTCGAATGCTATCAAAATCGTCTCCGAGTACCTTTTTCCGTCACTTTTAGTAAAAAACGCAAGATCCTCTAACTATGTACCAAAATAGTCTTTTTATAGCCAAAAAGTGCATTAGAACGCGTCAGAATCAGTCCATATCTATTTAGTTCACCACGTTTACGATGCCCAAAATTGCACCCGCGATGCAGTCCCATCGTGCCCAAGATGACGCGCGAGAAATCCAATAGCTTTCGTCTTTTTGTTTTCCCTTTTTTTCTCTCTCTTCAGTTTTTGCTATTTTCTTCAATTCTCTTCCCTTGGTCAATTTTGACTATTCCTTGACACTTTTACTTCACTTTTATTTGATATTTCATCGAAATCACTCTAAATACTTGATAAAAACATTACAGAATGTTATAAGAGAGTTATGTCAAATTTACTTAAACTATGACTTGACACGTTTTTTTTAGTAATATTATAACATTAGAGAAAATAAGAACTGCTAGACCACATGTCCGCAATGTCATGTCGCCCCTCCCCCATTAACTTTCAATAAACTTGTTTTATGGAAACTGTGCTGGGCTAAAGACATTGCATTAACTTTAAATAAACTTGTTTTATGGAAATTGTGCTGGGCTAAAGACGTTGCAATCCATAATCCATAACAAATTGAGTTGAAATTTGTAAGACCATACCATTAGAGATTTAAACTCAAAGATACTCAAATCACAACGCTCTTGGTAGGTGAGATTTCATTATCAATTTAAACAATCCATTACAAGTATTAATAATCCAACTAACAGATGACGGAAAAAATTGTAACCAATTAATCATCATGGGACAGATGTTCTAGGATACCACCGTGTTTGATAACTTGATAGAACTTATTTCCCATTTGTTTTTCCCATAAACACTATCAATACATACTATTTCCACATAGGTCACAAATCTTTTTTTTTCTTTTCCATTTTTACTATTTATCATAAAAAAAACAAATCTTTTTCTAATAAAAAGTAAAATATTAGAAAGACCTATGCTGGCATCCAAAATTTCAATAGAAAAACAAAATTAAACAAAAAAAACTTTATTTATAAAGTAAAATAAAATAAAAAACAGTAGTCGGTTGCATTACAATTCACAATATTCCAAACCCAACTGTATCCTACTGTTTTCTCTATCTTTCATTATCATCTCCAACTTCTACCCTCTCCGAGATTCTCGCTTCCCGCTAATTATCCCTTTCTTTCATTAACTAATTAAACCCACCGTTTCTTCTCCAAATTTAATTAAATACTTTAATTAATAATAAGAAAAACCGAAGAACGTGAAGCCAAGAACTCATTCAAATATTAATTATTAATTATTAATTATTATAACAGTGATTAATTATTACTCATTCAGCATTATCGTTACGTGTCGAACCTTCATAACTCTCATAACAGAACCTTATTAGACTCTCTCCGACTTCACCTTCAACACAAGCTAGCAAAATATGGCCGGCGAGTTCGCCGGAGATAACACACCGGAGCTTTTATGTTTGGTTCATGACATCACCGGAATGTGTACTGGAGGTGGAGGTGATTCGTCTTCACTCACCGCCGATGTGATGTTCAGAAAAGACTGTACCGATCTGGTTCGGCGGATCTCTCTTCTTACTTATTTGTTTGAGGAAATTAGGGAGTTGAATAAGGTGAATTGTTCTGCTTCAAGCTCTTCAGGTACTGTTTCTGATTCGGAGGATTCGTGGTCCTCTGATCTAGTGGTTGTTCTTCAATCTGCTAAACGGTTGTTATCTGTAGCGAAGAATTTCAGCTCCAATTCATCTTCGGTAAGTTTTCGATCTAATGCTCGTTTTTTTGTTGTGTTTGTAATTTAGATCTGTAATTCACTGCTTGGATTTTTTATTTTTTAATTGAGAAAATGTTAGATTCAATTTGAAAAAGTGCGTGTCCGAGTTAGTGTTTGACATCCGATACTTGTAATTACGAATAACTTATCAGTTTTTTCAAATTATTATCGGTTTCACAGTGTAGTATCAGTATTGTGTTCGAAGTTTATAGGTACTATTTGATTCACTGGAATAGTTGTTTTGATTGGCATTTTGTGTATTGGTAAATTTCTATTGAGGAATGATGGTTAGATTTTAGATGCAAATGACACAGTAAACTTGAATAATTCAAGAGTTGATTTGATTGAGAGAGAAGAAATTAATTCAAAAAAATCAAAATAGTAGAATATACTGTGGTGATTATTGGTGCCAGCTTTTTGTGTCTAAATATAACAATTTTGATATTTATATTGTGACAGTATATTCTTCAAATAAAGATGATTTTGAATTTCTCAGAGATTGTGTAACTTGGAATGTTACTAATGCTGTAATTTGTACCGGCGTGTATACGTGCGTTTCTGAAATTTGATCTATCTTGATTTAAGGATGAAGCTGCAAAGACGATTATCTTCCAATTTCAGTGTGTGACCTGGAAATTGGAAAAACTATTAAGCAGTTTACCATATGATGATTTGGACATCTCCGAAGAAGTCAAAGAACAGGTAGAATTTGTCTAAATGTGGTTTTATTTCTTTCATTACTGATAGATACTACTGTTTTATTTGCAAATTTCTTAAGTGAATCTACTGATAACATCTAGTTTTCTAGGTGGATTTGGTGAGATCACAGTTGAGACGAGCCACAGATAAATATGGGTTTATGATTTCTAAAATGCCGTGTGATGGTTTATCCCAGCCCCTGGCTCAAGAAATCAATCAAGTATTTGGCAAATCTATGAGTGGATTGCATAAACAGAACAGTTGTCCTGAATATCTATCAGAACTAGGTAGCATTCTTAAAAGCAATGAAGGGAAAAGCTGCAGCGCGTATGGGGCAGGATCTCGATTGGAAAGAACAAGGAGCATCCATGCCTCTTATGAGGTTTCATTATCGAATATAGCTGCTCCTGAAAGTCAGCAAATTTCTGGGAGCAAGAATCTGCCTGAAGTTAAAAAGCCTGAAGCAATTGTAATTCCTGAAGATTTTCTTTGCCCGATTTCGTTGGAATTAATGAGGGATCCTGTTATCGTGGCTACTGGTCAGGTAAAGTTCATTTCAGATGATGCATAAAACACAAGGCGTTTAATTTTCCTGCAAAATTTTCATCCCATTAATATTTCACTCGTATTTTCCGTCTGCAGACATATGAGAGATCTTATATACAGAGATGGATTGATTGTGGAAATACAACATGTCCGAAAACTCAGCAGAAGCTCCAACATTTGACCCTTACACCAAATTATGTTCTAAGGAGCCTTGTTTCTCAGTGGTGTATAGATCACAACATTGAGCAACCAACTGGACTAACAAATGGAAAAATAAAAAAGAGTGATGGGTCGTTCAGAGATGTTACGGGTGACATTGCAGCAATTGAAGCTCTGGTCCGGAAGCTCTCCTGCAGATCCACTGAAGAGTGTAGAGCAGCTGTTGCTGAGATTCGATCATTATCCAAAAGAAGCACTGACAATAGGATACTAATTGCTGAAGTTGGAGCAATTCCAATTCTAGTCAACCTTTTAACTTCAGAAGATGTAATGACACAAGAAAACGCGGTTACTTCAATTCTCAACCTCTCTATATACGAAAACAACAAAGGACTTATAATGCTTGCCGGTGCAATTCCATCTATTGTTCAAGTCCTCCGAGCTGGAACCATGGAAGCAAGAGAAAACGCGGCAGCAACTCTTTTTAGCTTGTCACTTGCGGACGAGAACAAAATAATAATTGGAGCCTCCGGAGCTATATCAGCTTTGGTAGAATTGCTCCAAAACGGAAGCCCTCGAGGCAAGAAAGATGCAGCAACAGCATTGTTCAATTTATGCATATATCAAGGGAACAAAGGCAGAGCCATAAGGGCCGGGATCATCACAGCACTGTTGAAGATGCTCACAGATTCAAGCAAATCAATGGTTGACGAAGCTCTTACAATAATGTCAGTTCTTGCCAGCCACCAAGAGGCAAAGGTTTCCATAGTAAAAGCCAGCACTATACCAGTTTTAATAGATCTTTTGAGAACCGGATTGCCTCGCAACAAAGAGAATGCAGCTGCCATTTTACTTGCTCTGTGCAAGAGGGATACTGATAATCTTTCCTGTATCAGTAGACTTGGTGCTGTTATACCACTTTCTGAACTTGCTCGAACCGGTACAGAGAGAGCCAAACGGAAGGCTACTTCATTATTGGAGCATCTTCGTAAGTTACAACAGCTTTGAATGGGGCAGAACCCTTACATATTTAATATATTTCTGATTATTTGACATAATTTTTCACATTGGTATGCAAACTGATGAAATCAATTGAGGATGAAATAAGAAAATCAGCCTCATTGGTCCAGTTTATTCTTTCCTTCTTTTCCTGTGTTGTACTTTTTCAACATCTGTATCAGCGTGTAAAGAAATCAAATTAATATATATATTGTTTCTCCAAGAAATTCTCACAGATGTTTCTGTTTTCCTCTTGATTTGTTGGTTCTGTTTTAAACAATAACTGTTTGACGATATTCTCAAGCATTTACCATGGTCCCATCAAAATATTTATCCACCATAGACCTATTGCTTTGGACTATTCATATAATAATCATAAAAATTAATGATTAAGATTTGAAATATATTATATCTTATTATAAAAGTTTCTTGGTGGAAGTGGACAAATAGTATATTTTCTTGGTGAAAATGGAAGTGGGATACAAATGCATAGATACGGGCACCGGGTACCCGGTATGGGATACACATATGATATAAATACCAAATACGATACCGATATTTTATCATTTTAAAAGTATTCATAAGAAGTTTACAGAATCCAGAAAGTATAAACTTCTAAGAATTGATTATCACCAGCAAAACAATTATCATCCTTATCTTTCTAAAATTATTGGAATCTGTTTAATAAAAAATGTTTTTTGAAGTGGATTTCTTGTTTATTTTTTCCCCTCTGATATGATCAATCATGGTAGGAGCATAACTAGCTGCACTATTTTATTAGACGAGCCATAACTTGTAGGCACGTTCTTTTGTTAACTTGATGAATATTTAAATTACATTTTGAGTCGTGGCTTTTTGGAAGGAATCTCAAAATCCTTATCTGTGTTGATTTTTTTCCTAGAAAATCTTCTAGTATTTACCTTTTTGTTTTAGATTCTAGTGAAAACAAATAGAGAAACGATTTTCATTACACTTTTCATTGATAATGAGCTGGTCAATGGTCATCAACTCAGCGATGATCTGGTCTATTGGCAGCCCTCTTCTCATGGCTCTTTGACGTGAAGTGTTAATAGATGCATTGACCTTCTGTCAGATTACTAACTGAATTGAATTAATAGAATAGTGTGAAATTTTTAAATGTGAATTTAGTTAAGTATTAAATTTTAAACAATAATCCAACTGTTAACACAACTTTGTTTTTTTTTTTTCTTCTATGAATACTAAATGCGATATCACGACTTCAACTTATAATATTCATTTTACTATGAATTTATATTTCTTACAAGAAATAGAATAGTAATTTTTTTTTTTTAACTTTTAAATGATATAAAAACTATTTTATTTAGACAAACATAACTTAAAATATTGTATTTTTTTTAATCGCCGCATAAATATATAAAATAAAAGTAGTACAACAAATTGAAAGTCGTAAGTGTTATGGTTGATTGAAAATATATATGTTGAAAATATTCTATATCGTTTAGTTTTGTGAAGGAGAAGAGAGCCCAAAATTATATAAAATTTAAGTTCTTCGAAGTTACACATCACTTAACTTTATGAAAGAAGAGGGAGTTCAAAGATATATATATATATATATATATATATATATATATATATATATATATATATATATATATATATATATATATATATATATATATATATATATATATATATATATATATATATATATATATATATATATATATATATATATATATATATATATATAAAATTCAAATTCTTCGCTACAAGACGTACCAGTCAAAAACACTTTAACATTGTATTTGACTTTTTATATTTTCTCTTATACTCTTGAATTAGTGTGTTGTGAGAGATGATTAAATATTTGCTTTGGAAAGTGGATGTGCGTTGGGGTCTTGGATGATTGAAGGTAATTTATGTATTGCAATTATTTTCACATAGTGTTATTCTCCTGTTGTCATTTGACAACAGTTGTGGTTTTTTTCTCCGATTTTTGAGTTTTCACGTTAATCTTTTGTATTATTATTTGTTCATCTTTTATCTCTATGCTTTTTTTCCCAACTAGACCTAATCCAATGAAACCAAAATACATCCAAAAGAAAAGTGAAGTTAAACAATAATCCAACTGTTAACACAACTTTGTTTTTTTTTTTCTTCTATGAATACTAAATGCGATATCACGACTTAAACTTATAATATTCATTTTACTATGAATTTATATTTCTTACAAGAAATAGAATAGTAATTTTTTTTTAACTTTTAAATGATATAAAAACTATTTTATTTAAACAAACATAACTTAAAATATTGTATTTTTTTTAATCGCCGCATAAATATATAAAATAAAAGTAGTACAACAAATTGAAAGTCGTAAGTGTTATGGTTGATTGAAAATATATATGCTGGAAATATTTTATATCGTTTAGTTTTGTAAAGGAGGAGAGAGTCTAAAACTATATAAAATTTAAGTTCTTCGAAGTTACACATCACTTAGTTTAAGTTATGGATTAGAAGGTGGCGTGGTTTGAAAACTTTGCACTACCTCAATGTGTCTCTACATAGTTACAATAATGTTTGGATTGTTGGAGAATTTTTTTTCACTAACGAGCATTGAACATTACGGGACTTCCTTCTTTGAGAAACACCTTTGTGAGAGACACACCACATATTCATCCAAAAATTTAAGGTGATAGGTGTGTGGATTCTCTCACTTATAAATGCCAATGTGAAACTATCACCCATACTACTCACACTTGTTATACTCAACACTGCCCTCAAGTGTGAGTTTATCCACAATGCTACCCTTAAACGAAAGCTCTTTTCATTCACATACACTTGTACCGCCGTTGATACTCTTCAACGAAACACCTCCTAATCACCAATTGTGAGGAGTACTTTCGATACAAGTGAGTCAATCATTCACTCAAACCAAACTCTAATACCATTGTTGGAGGAATTTTTTTAACTAGAGAAAATTGAACATTGTGAGAATTCTATCTTGTTGACTTATCTAATTAAAATATGTTATATAAATATGAGAATTATGTCTTGAAATCTTCATGATGCTTTAAACTACAAATGTCAAGTTTTAAATGGACACATATAAGTTTGACTTATTTGCATGCAAGTTTAACTAGCTAATTATCAAATAGAGTCTCAAATTATTTTCGAGTTGATTTAACTTATTTTCAATCCTATCAATTTTTAAATAATTGATTTTTAAATGTGAGTTAAAAGTTATATGTTAGATAAATTAATATATGTGGAGTAACATATAACTAAAAAGACATATACACTTAACGTCTTACAATTTTGGAACATATAATTGAAATGATCAGTAATCGATTGCAAGTTTAATGTAACCGGTTACCATCATTGCCATAATTAGATAGTAACTTCATATAATCAGTTTCAACTTTTATGTAATCAATTACATCCTCAAATTTTTTGATTTTTGATTTAGTTGATTAGTTGTACAATTATATATTAATGTATAAATATCCTAATTTGAGTTGTTAATAATAATGTCACATTTTTACTAAATTCTCTCTAATTCTCCCTCTCTCAATTTTTTACACTTGTTCATCATTGTCTCTTGTCATTGGATTTTGCCCTAATTTTCAATACTCTCTTCGATACTCACTTTTTTATTGGTGAAATACTATATATCTTATCATTTTATGTGAGATTCATTTTCGAAATGAAAGATCCACATATATTTTACCCAATAAAAAAGTAAACGTTAGAAAAAATGTTAAAAAATAAAATATTCATATCTAGAATCCGACCGACTCTATAGCTCATGGTCTTCAAAATTTTAGTGCCTACAAAAATTTAAAAATACCTAAGAGATATCATTGGAGACATAAAATAAAAAAGATTTTAACTCATTTAAAATGTACTACTACAAATATAGCCCCACACAATGCTTAAGGCAGTTTAAATCAAAATATCATTGTGGAATGCTTAAGCACTTAACTTGAAGTTGCACTTCTTTCCCATGGTTGATGCCTTTATCATATTTTAACATCGCGAAATCCAGAACATTCTGTAGCTACAGGCTCATTCACAAAGCTGCACCATTTTCTACCATTCAACATGCTTCATTATTCAACCAACAACATTCTTCCATTTTCTCCTCACTCTTACGCGAATTCTCGAACACCCTCATCCATGTCAAGTCCATCCACGCACAGATTATTATAAACTGTGTATCCACTCAACACTTTCTGGCCACAAAACTTATCAAATCATATTCCGATTTGGGTTTTATCAACTCTGCATACAAGGTGTTTGATCAATGTCCTCATCCGGAAACCATGCTATGTAATGCTATGATGGGTGGATTCCTTAAGAACCGCGAATATGAGGAGGTTCCCAGGTTGTTTAAAATGATGGGGTCCTGTGATATTGAAATGAATAGTTACACATGTGTTTTTGCTCTTAAGGCTTGCACTGTTTTATTCGATAAGGAGATTGGTATGGAAGTTGTTAGGATGGCTGTTAGAAAGGGGTTTCATTTGCATCCTCATGTTGGTAGTTCGGTGATTAACTTTTTGGTGAAATTGGGGAATCTTGATGAGGCGCGAGTGGTTTTCGATGGGATGCCTGAAAGGGATGTTGTTTGTTGGAATTCGATTATTGGAGGTTATGTGCAGGATTTTCTTTTCAAGGAGGCGGTTCTAATGTTTGTTGAGATGATTGGTTGTGGGGTAAGGCCAAGTACTGTGACTATGGCTAGCTTACTCAAAGCGTGTGGTGAAAGTGGAATGAAGAAACTTGGAATGTGTGTTCATGCTTTTGTACTTGCATTAGGCATGGGCGATGATGTTTTTGTGCTTACTTCATTGGTTGATATGTATTGTAATGTGGGGGACACTGACCGTGCTTTTCTGGTTTTCAATAGCATGCAAAGTAGAACCTTGATTTCATGGAATACTATGATTTCTGGATGTGTTCAAAATGGTATGGTGCCTGAATCTTTTGCTCTCTTTCATAGACTGGTCGAAAGTGGTGCTGGGTTTGATTCGGGGACTTTGGTTAGCCTTATTCGGGGATTTTCTCAAACATCTGATTTGGAAAATGGAAAAGTCCTCCATGCTTGTATCATTAGAAAGGGACTTGAATCAAATATAGTTTTATCCACTGCAATTGTTGACATGTATTCTAAGTGTGGTGCCATAAAACAGGCAACTAATGTTTTCAGAACAATGGAAAAAAGGAATGTAATTACTTGGACTGCTATGCTTGTGGGTTTATCACAAAATGGCTATGCAGAGGATGCCTTGAAGTTATTCTGTCAGATGCAAGAAGAAAATGTTGCTGCCAATTCTGTCACTCTTGTTAGTCTCGTGCATTGTTGTGCTCACCTAGGATCTCTCAAGAAAGGAAGGAGTGTGCATGCTCATTTGATCCGTCATGGTTACACATTCAATGCTGTTAATATCTCAGCCTTGATTGATATGTATGCCAAGTGTGGTAAAATTCATTCTGCCGAGAAGCTATTCTGTAAGGGATTCCATTTAAATGATGTTATACTTTGTAACTCTATGATCACGGGTTACGGAATGCACGGCCAAGGACATCAGGCTCTTGGTGTCTATGATAGAATGATAGACGAAAGGCTCAAGCCAAACCAAACTACATTTATTTCTCTGCTAACAGCATGCAGTCACTCGGGCCTCGTTGAGGAGGGTAGGATTTTGTTCCACTCTATGGAAAGAGATCATAATGTTAAGTCTAGTGACAAACTTTATGCTTGTTTTGTCGATCTTCTTAGTCGAGCAGGCTGTCTCGACGAAGCAGATTCATTGGTGAAACAAATTCCCATTGAACCGAGCACGGATGTACTCGAAGCTTTGCTCAGTGGTTGCAGAATCCATAAAAATATTAACATGGGAATACAGGTTGCAGATAAATTAATTTCTCTAGATTACTTGAACACAGGAATTTACATAATGCTGTCAAATATATATTCTGAAGCTAGAAGATGGGAGTCGGTTAATTACATAAGGGGACTCATGAGGACAAGGGGCCTGAAGAAAACACCGGCTTTTAGTTTAATTGAACTAGGTAACCAAGTATACACATTTTTTGCTGGTGATGATTCACATCCTGGTTGGGGAAATATTAAGCAGTTATTAGAAAACTTGAGGCTCGAGGTGGAGGCTTCTGGTTATGTTCCTGATACCAGTTGTGTTCTTCACGATGTAAATGAATCAATGAAGGTTCAGTTGCTATGGGGACATAGTGAGAGATTAGCTATAGCATTTGGTCTTTTAAACACGCCATACGGAAGCTTGATTAGAATCACCAAAAATCTTAGAGTTTGTGTTGACTGTCATACTGTCACCAAATACATATCAAAAATAGTTAAGAGGGAAATTATCGTTAGGGATGCTAACCGTTTTCATCACTTTGTTAATGGGGAATGCTCTTGTAATGATTACTGGTAATTGGATTTTGAAGCTTCTGGCACATTAGTTCAAATAATTCACATCCTCTTAAAGTGTAGCTTTCAGAATTCAGATCAATGCGCAACAAATTTCTCATCAAATGAAATGTCTAAACACATTGTCGACATTGAGAAAGACTGTTAGTTCACTAAAAGAACGAAAAAGGCCAATTCAAAAGACTAATCAATTAAGTCGGAGAGTCTCGCGACTTAATTACTACAATGAATTTATTTTTTCTATTAAATGTGAGACTTATTAGATTGTCAATCCCTATAAGAACTTACTCTCACGACAAAGTTTACTGTGTAGACTCTAACCTGGTGGTAGCTATTTCTCTTTTGTGGCTTCATCGATCAGTTAGTATTTGGCGGTGAACCTTAATCTAATCTACTAATAACCCATTTATGCACTTCAACTTTCAATAAAAACGTAAATTATTATGATTTAAGTTCATGAGGAGAGTCTGAAAAACTAACTTATTAAGTAGGTGGGAGAGCTCAAAGATTAGTAACTTATTAAGTAGGTGGGAGAGCTCAAAGATTAGGTACCACATTGAAATTTCTTTTCTATTCAATGTATGATTCATAACAATATAACTCAAGGGCACTCAAATGCTTTTCAGCCTTTGCCTGGGGTTCTGCACAACAACTTGCGATATATTTGTTAAGGGAATTTTCTAATGCATCACATGAAAATACTAAAATGTTTTTAGATTTTAAAAATACATCTTCGGACGCATCTAGTACACACATAGTCTAGTTCAATCCAAGTGACACCCTAAAAGTTGAGTTTTATTAACCCAGAGATGTATCTCCGGAATCTGTCCATAAATGCATTTCAGTATTACCATTTGTAACATGAAATCAGTATTACATAGATGATTTCAATATAAAATGCAACATTATACTTAAATATCTAGGTGGACGTTTCAACATCTTCACAATATCTTCGACCGATCTTAAAATCGTTGCTTCCAACTCGAATATAACTGTTGTTTCGAAATAGAAAAATGTATTCTACATAGTCCTTACATTTACATATGTCTTGAGCTCAAAGTTGTTGAACTCAATCTTTTCTTTGTTGTCAATCGACGGTGAAAGGTACTTGAGTTTCACAATTTTTCGACTGTCTCCGTGAGGTAGGGGTTATGGACTTCATATTTCAGATATGCAAAAAAAAGTGTACTCGTTGAGCTTAAACTTTTGCTCTGGTGTCGCGCTGCAGAAGGAGACATTTGCGATATACCAGATGATGTTTATTTGTGACATTTGAGACATTTTCTGTTTGTGTGAGATAAAAAAACAGAGTCCCTAAAGTTATAGAAGTTGTAGACAAATGTGTATCATAAAAATTCTATCAAGAATTTACTATACAATTTCATGCATCCATTATTTTTTCCACAACCACATTCGCCTTCACCGTTCTTCCATGCATGTAGACAAATATGGACCACAAACCTTCCTGAAATGTATAACAGAATCAACATATAACTCTTTAATAGAAGAATTTACTATACAATTCCATGCATCCATTATTTTTTTTCCACAACCACACCCGCCTTCACCATTTTCCATCTTTAGACGTTATTTGTTTCGTCCCTACTATGGGTTTAACCCGACTTCTCACATTCTTTATTATGTGATACCTACAAAGCAATGCATAAGAAGTAGGAAATATCTTTGCAACCGAATTCATCAACGTGATATTGCAGTTAGCAACAATCACTTTAGACATCTTTTCTTGATCCTTCAACATTGCCCGACACACCTCTAAGGCCTAATAACATTATCCTTTTTTTTTCGCTCTCTAGAAATGCAAACCCCACAAAATAGATCTTCTCAGTAGAGGTAACACCAACCATATCCAATAATGGAAGTTTGTACTTATTAGTCTTGTATGTTGAGTCAACTATGAGCATAGTAGGAAACATGTTGAACAACTTGATGGAATATGGATGAGTCTAAAATATATCTCTAACAGTAACTCCATCCTTGCACGTTCGGTACCTAGGCACATGATTATTATCATCCAACAGTTTCAAGAGTTGTTGAATTTCATTTCTATCCCCTGAACGCCTTGCTAGTTTGGTACCGAATATTATACACTTGATTAATATTTGAGATGTTTTCCGGTATTTTATGTTTCAAAGTTGCAAGTATATTTTTAGATTGAACCAAATTCAATGTCATGTCAACAACACAATCCTTCTCTTCTGGCATGAGGCGCACACAATTGGATGGTCTACTAACTTTTCACAAAAGTCATGGTTATCCGAACCACATATGACATTAAATCTCCATTTATTGTTTGCCAACATATAACCACGCAACTTAGAGGAACACTCACATTTTATTGAATCGGTTTCGTCTCGTTTAAAATTTTGGAGATTGGGTTTATATTTTTACGCTTCTTTCGCACGTCATTGTCACAAAAGAATATCTTTTATCTCAACCATTATCGAATCATCCAATTACCGTAACAAATCCTAGTTTGGAGACCTTCGTACGAATCCATTTTTAAATTGGTTGCCAACATCTACCGCATTCATAACAACACCTTAACATTCGAGACACAACATGTTTAGGGAAAAATATCAGGGTGCATCATATCTAATGAAAATAATTACCACAGAACAGTAAATAAGTGTTAATTCTGTAAACGAAGCTGAAAAATGAACACAAATTGATACCGAAAATGCATTTTCAGATGAGTTCATACTCATTTCGGAAATGTATCTCCAAAATAAATAAACATTTTTTCAGACAAAAAACAAGATTAATGTGAGCAATGAGGCTTGAAATAAATTATTTGTACCTGGAATTTCAACTTATTTTGCTCCCTTTATTGTGATTAAACACAAGATTGAAGATTTTGAGTGAAAATAAGGATTGAAAATGGAAGGGATTTGGTGAGGGTTTGGAGTGGAAAACAAGTATGAATGTGTGATCATGCAACTCAGTGTTTTATCAACTTATTATGGAGATACATCTCTGCAATCTGAAGGGAAATTTCAATTTTTCATAGGGTGTTTTTCCACTCTATAGGGTGCCATAAGAAATTATCTTTGTTAAAACTAGTTTGTTATATATATTTATTAAAACTATTTTGTTTATTTGGGCTTTTTTGTCTCTAAGTTAGTTTTGTGATTTATTGGTAGGGAATCAATCTTTCCACCCTCACGTGTTCTCACCCACCATTGTGAAAAGTATCAAATGTCCCTAGTGTTCAACGACGCATTTTCGGATACACCTTTGTTACACATATTTCATCATAAATTACCGAGCCACTCTTATTTTGCGAAAAAATGGGTGTGTCAGATATGCATCTCCAAACACATCTTTTTTACACACATCTCAGCAGAAATTATTGAGTCACCCTTATTTTGTAAAAAATTGGGTGTGTTCGGAGATGCATCTTCAGACACTTTTTTTAAGCAAAATGGGGTAGATATCAGAATAACGCATTCTAGTGTGATTTTGGTGCGTCAGGAGATGCATCTTGAGACGCATGAAAGACATTTTTGCATTTTCGTCAATGTGGGATGACATGTAAAGGTGGAAAGAGCAATTACCTAATTGATATTTCTAATTAAATTTACCTATTTACATAGGATTAGGAGTTCTATTTAAATGAAGCGTACTTCATTGGCTGGCTAAGAAATGCACATTCATTTTTTCTTCCTTTTTTGTTTTTCAATCTCTATTCAGATTTTTTATTAGTTTTTGGTGTCCAATGGATACCTCTTAACATGGTATCAATAAAGACTACACTAATTCATCGTTCTTTTTCCTTTTTCTATTCTCAATTTTCATTTCCAAAGTTCCAAGATTCTCCATCATCTGAGTATTTACACAAGTGGCTTTCATGCACCAATTGCGTCATCTCCATCCAGACATGTCAACAATCTGGACCTATTTCAAAATTTCATTCAAATTTCATCTTGTTGCATCGCTATTGCTTCTTCCAAGATTACACCATATCCAATTTTCTTACCAAGTTACCAAAACTTCACGGTGAGGCCTCATTTTTCTCAAAACATTCTATTTCTTCATCTTTCTCAATCGCTCATATCTCTCTTACAAAATGTTCATCAAACACTCAGAATCTTGAAGATCTTCAACAATTCTTTATCCACGTTTATTTACCAACCCAAAAAAACCCAAGATTTCACCCATCCACTACTACAAAACACGCAAACAACAACATCAGGTTTACAACAGATTCATGTACACCGTTGTAATAGGTTATAATGTTCACGCATCAGTGAGTAGTTGGATTTATTACTACGGATATGTTATAAGATCGTAGTAATATATGTTTTGTAGCAGGCTTCGATCCCCAACAAATACACTTTTTCAATTTTTTAGACTACAATTAGCGTGTGTCATTTAAGTCCATTATTTAAAAATTAAATTGTAAATGATTTTGCAACGGTTAATAAATCAACCGTTGTTATAGGACTTTAAAAAAAATCTAAAATCTAAAATTATTTAACCAAGATATTTAACCATAGTTTTATTAAACAACCGTTGTAAAATTTGAAAATTACATGACGGTTTTAATTTCTAACCGTGATGAAAACTGATATTTTTTTTAGTATATAAGCGAAAGTATCTATCATTCAGTATATATCAGCCGTTTCTCTCAAAAGAAAACCCTAACATATTTCACTCTTCGCTCTTATAACATAACTCTAAACATACTTCAACCTTCAAATACCTCTTCATATTCGTCTTCACTAATCGCTTACTTGAGGTTCATTCATTACACTTATGATTCGGTTTCGTTTACTTGTCTTGTTAAAAATGGGTTTTAATTTTTTTTCCTGAATGTTCTCATTTTTCAGATTCATCATCACCACCTTAACAAAGTGTATACTTTCGATATGTTTCATATGATTTGTGTAGCTATGAAGAAAAATACAAGAAGTATGAATCCATTGTGTTAACTTCATCCACCTTGTACTTTTTCTTTATAGCTTCATGAACTAGATGAAATAT